AGAAGGTCAATTCTCACTCTGAGGACTTTGAACCTCCCTTGATTCATCATATTGGACATCTGAATTTTTTTCTGCTGCTGTATCTATATTTCTTTCTTCTAATAGTAATCTGTAATCTTTTTAGGTTTGCACAAGATATCCTTTCTCAATGTTGGACTCAGTTCTATCTTTACATCTATTTTTTTGTATTTGTTCATTGATTTCTTGTCTAATGGAAACCATAGTCTACATAACCTGCTTCTGCCCACTGGCATTGAGGAGAGCCACAGTGGGTATAATACTAGGCAGGTGGCCAATTGGCTCCAGCTCAGGTATGAAAGAGAGTGGTGGAAGGTTTGGGCAAGTAAAACAGGCACAGGTTCTGGCTTTTAAATATTTATTCTCTTAAAATTTTGACATAATTCATAAAACTAAATTTAGCCATTTTAAGGTATATAATTTAGTGGGTTTTAGATATGCAAAATCTTGTTATAAGCATTGTCATTGCTTAATTCTGGAACATTTCCATCAATCTAAAAAGAAACCTCATCTTAGCAGTCACTACCACATCCCTCCTCCTCAAATCCCTGGAAATTACTAATCTATTTTTTTGCTTCTTTAGATTTGAATATTTAGGAGACTTCATAGAAATGAATTCAGAAAATATGTGGACTTTTGTGTCTGACTTAAGTCACTTAGCATAATAAATTCAAAACTCACCAATGTCTTAGCTTCTTCCTTTCTGTGGCTGAAAAATAGTCCATTATGTGTGAGGTGGGTATGATGATGCATGCCCAGATCCTGGAGCCTTGGAAGGTGAGGCAGGAGGATTGCAAGTCCAAGGTCAGCCTCAGCAATATAGTGAGGCCCTAAGCAACTTACAAGATATATATATATATATATATATATATATATATATATATATATATAGCCAATTATAAAAAATGCTACTATGAATATCTCTCTGTAAACTTTACTTGTGTGAAGTAAAGTTGTATGCAGTCATAAAGAAGAACACAATTATTTCATTTTCAGAAAAACAGATGGTACTGGAGAACATCATGTTAAGCAAAATAAGCCAGACTCAGAAAGCCAAGGGTCCTACATTTTCTCTAATTTGTGAAAGTTATAAAAATATTTGAAAAGGGGATTTTCATGAGAAAAAAGAAGGGAGTCTTTAGAGTAGAAGATGTGGATTGGTAGGGGGGAGAAAGGGGTACTGGGCAATGAAATTGATCAAATTATGTTATGTACATTTGCAAATATATCACAATGAATTCCACAATTTTTTGTAATTATAATGTACTAATTAAAAAGAGAGAGATATATACAAGCACTGAGCTTAAAAATGTTTGTTTGAATATTACTTTCAAGGTTTTTGGTCATATAGCTATCAATGGATTTCTTTAAACTTTTAACTTTTGAGTGAGTTCCACAATTTTTTTCCCAGTGACTGCACTATTTTACAATCCCACCAGCAATGGATGAGGATTCCCATTTTCTGTTGTTTTTCTTTTTTAAAAAATTTCCTTGAGGATTAAATTCAGAGCCTCATGCTATGCACAGTTACTATCATTGAGCTACACCCCCAGCTTAGTTTTTTTTTTTTTGGGGGGGGGGGTAGAAGGAATACCATGGATTGAACCCAGGGGAACATGACCCTGAGTTCACATCACTGAGTCACATCCCTAGTCCTATTTTTCATTTTATTCAGAGACAGGATCTCACTGTTTTTGCCTCGCTTTTGCTGAGGCTGGCTTTGAACTGGAGATCCTCCTGTCTCAGCCTCCTGAGCCACTGGGATTACAGGTGGGTGCCACTGTGCCTTGCTGTTGTTGATTTTTAATAGACATCCTAATGTGTGTGTGATGTAACTTCTCAGTATGGTTTTTAATTCACATTTCTCTAATGTCTAAAAAAGTTGAGCATATTTTATGTGCTAATTGTCAATTTGGAGATGTTCTTTGAAGAATCTTCAAATGAAATATTTTTCTAATTTTTTATATTAGGTTATTTGCTTTATTATTGTTGAGTTTTAAGTATTACTTTTATATTCAGTATACTAGATTAATTTTGGATGTATAACCTGCATAAAACTCTATCCTGTATTATGTCTTTCAACTACTTTGACAGTGACCTTTGAAGGACAAAGATCTCTATGTGGATGAAGTTCACTTAATTATTTTATGTCATTGCTTTTGATTTTGCTTTTAAATACAGGAATTTGGCTGGACAAGGTTGAGCATGCTCATAATCCCAGGGGCTCAGGAGGCTGAGACAGGAGGATCTTGAGTTCAAAGATAGCCTTCCTTCTCCTCTTATCAGTGAGACCTTGTCTCTAAATAAAATACAAAATAGGGCTGGGGATGTGGCTCAGTAATGGAGTGCTCCTAAATTCAAACCCCAGTACCAAAAACAACAACAACAACAACAACAACACAATACAGGAAGTCATTACTTATTTCAAGGTAATGAAGATTTACAACAATTTTTTTTTTCAAAATAATTGGTATAGTTTTAATTTGAATTATGTGTTTTTCACTGAGCTAATTCTTGTATATAGTTTGAGGTCTGAATCAAAATTCATTCTTCTTCATAGAGCTATCCACTTATCTCCTCACTCTGTCTTGCAGAACTAATCTTCCACCAGAGAAATATTTTGGCATTCTTATAACTATCAATTTACATGACTTATGGGTTTATTTCTGGTCTATAAATTCTATTCCATTGCTCTTTTGTATCTGCCCTATGCCACTGGGCACCACTTGATCTCTGTGACTTGGTAATACATTTTGAAAGTAAGAAGTACAAGTCCTACAAATTCATTTTTTATTTTCAAAATCATTTTGGCTACATGAGGCTGCTTCCTCTTCCATCTACAAGAACTATATTTCAAAAGTTTTGGTCTATTGTGATTTTCTTATCATTCATCTTAAGTATATTATGTTTTACTTTTGTTTTACTTTTGAACCATTATTTAATTTTCACATTTGTGAATTTTCCTAATATTATCCTATTGTTGATTTCTAATATAGTCTAGTATAGTCAGAGAAAATACTTCACATAATTTCAGTTTTTAAAATATTTTATACTTGTTTTGTTGCCTGATATCTGGCTACCTTGGAGAAATTTTCATACTCACTTAAGAATGAATATTTCACATTTGATGGGTAGAATGCTTTACAGATGTCTACAGGTCTGGTTAGTTTATAGTGTTATTAATTGTTTCTGTTTCTTTACTGACCTGCCTAGTTGAATATGTTATCAAAAGTGGGATATGAAGTTCTCCAACTATTATTATGCTTATTGTATATTTCTGACTTCAGGATTTTTATTTTTTGCTTTATGTATTTTGAGGTTCTGAGCTGAACAAATGTTTTACTGTATCTTTCTGATGGATTGGTTGTTTAATCATTAAATAATGCCTTGTCTTTGGCAATCACTTTTGTCTAAAAGTTTATTATGTGTGATATTATTGTAGTCCTTCCAGTTCCCTTTGGTTAATGGTTATGGGATAATGGGATTTCTTCATCTATCCTTTTAACATAATCAACTGGCAAGGAATAAATGGTTTCAGTGTTAGAGATTTATTTACATTTTAAAAATCTTTGCCAAAAACTTTAGAACTCCATTTTTAATATTCTGAATGGACTGTGACTACCATAGGATAACGTAGAAATCACTAACAATTCTGTATTTTACTGCTTCCTAATATATGTGTGAATAAGCATTACATGATATACATAATGTATATTGAAGTGGTCTTCCTTTTATCAGCTGTTGCTGAATTTTCATTTGTTTTCTTTCCCAGATAGTTATCATAGTTAAATCACTTTCCACAACGTGATTTAATTCAAACTTCTCCATTTGTATTTTATAATATAAGCATTTGTTGTAAAGTATAACCATTGTCAGGTAAGTTTATTTTTCTTAATTTTACTTTCCTCACCTCTGTCATAAATGAATTTAATAAAAACCTCTAAACAGCCTCCAATTCTTTATTTATCTGTGACACAGATTCTGTAAATCTCCAACACTTTTCTTGTATTTTATATAATGAATGAGTCATTTTACCTACAGTGATATAAGGCCCCTTTAAGTACTATTATTAGCATTCCAGAAATTATTAGAAATGGAAATGGTTGGCCTCTGTTCCAGACCTACTAAATCAAGGCAGGAGATGCCCTGAAATCTGGATTTATCAAGCCCTTCAGAGGATTATAATGCAGTTATTGTTTAAGAGTCACTGTCTTAGAAATGCCATAGAGAGAATTGATTGCTTTCTCTTTACAGCATCAGTTTCTATTTAATGGGACAAGCTGCCAGCTCTTGTTAACGTATGTTATATAATCAAAATTACAGGTATGAAAATTGAATTAGAGATCACTGTCAGTTCCATAAAAAAGTTAAAATATTAGAAATGTTGGACTTGGAATTTTGAGTTTGATGGCTTATTACAAGAAACTCATAAATCATAATTAAAAATCTGGTATACAGAATATTTCCCAGATTCATTAGTGAATCTATCATTTCCAGATCATGTTATGCTTTTAAAATTGCATATTATATAGTTGAAATAAATCAGTTAACCATCCTGATTCTCATGATTTTTATTTGTGAAACAAAAGTGATCTTAATGAAAACTTCTAGCTCTAAAATTCTATGATTCAGACATTCAACAACTTTAGGAGCATTAGAATATTTAGTGCTACATATGCCATCTATTTAAAGGTCAGATTCTTTTAGCATTTCTATAAAATCCCTAAAATATTGTGTCTATTTAATGTAACTCAGGTTTTATTTTTATGAAGAAACTTTAAGGATACACTTTTGTGACCACATTCTTTGAATATGGAACTATTCAGCCACGCATACAAATGTTCTTGCTTTTGATAAGCCTCAGTAGTTAAAACCATTTCCCAGGAGACTGTATAAATAAAGGGGTATTGTGTTTGCTTATTTTTAAACAGCTGACTTGAAAAAAGAACTGTTGATACTTTCTTCCTAAGAAATTCTCTACCATGAAGATTCATCTCTTTTTCTTAATTCTGCTCTTTTGTGTCACAATTTTACCAGGTAATATGCAAACATTTGTGGGCTTACTTAGACTAATGAATTTCAGGAGACACCAATTGTTTCATTTTAAAAGCTTGATGATAATGTAGGGCTTAAAAGACTGCTACGCTAAATTTGATACAGTATTTGAGAGCAAACTTTAAGACAGAAAAAAAAAAAAAACAGTAGTGAGACAACCAGTGCAACATGAATAAAATGATGTTTTGTTAACAGTATTATATCAATTATACTTTCTTAATTTTGATGAATGTTACCATGGTTAGTGAGATATAAGGAGAAGCTGGCCTTTTGCCTTTGCACCTTACTTGTAAATACAAAATGATTTTCAAACTAAAAAAATATATGATCATCGCAGCACTTCCCTCACTTTCATCCTGTAATATTTCACTATAACTTAAACTTGATAGATGTTAATTCTCACTGGAAAAATACTATTGTTATGTAATATAATCAGCTGATAAGGGAGTAAATAGTTTAGTGTTTGTGATCTATTTACCTTTTCTTTTTCTTTAACCAATGATACAATTTGCAGGAATGTTGAGAAATACTTTGTGTTCAAGATATATATTTTTGGTAAGAATTCCCCCCGCCCCAAACTATCCCTTCACACTAGATCAACCTTCTCTTCTTCTGAATTAATGTACAGCATTGATAGCCCAGAAATGAAGTAAGTCTTGGAGATAGAGAAATCATTGTTTCTACTCACTTCCTGTTAGAAAGCTTGAGGTAGAAGGATTATCTCAAGTCTAGCCTGTTTGTGGCGGTGACAATGCTTTCAGAACCCATTTACTCACTCTATGACAATAGCCCTTTTTAGAACTTAAGTGAACTTTTCAAGTCCAACAGAAATCATATTAGAGGCCTAGGTGATAAATGTACATTCTCTCATATCACAAAATCCAACACGACCATCTAAGACTTCACACATTAAAAACTGACAAATTATTATTTAAAGAATGCAAGTAGAAAAACTTCTATACACAGACCAAACATCAAGGAAATTTGAGTAACACAGTTAATTTAGTTAACAGAATAACTTCCTTTTCTTTTTTCAGAAATTATTAAAAATTGTTTGAAAATTGTCACCAAAATATAGCATATATACAAGTTATTAGTCTGGATTTTTCCAGCTTTATTTAGAGACAAAATTCATTTGATAGATTCAGATAGCATTCAACATATAATAAATACTTTCTTCTTCTGTTTTAATAATAGCTAACGTTAATAGATCACTATAGAAAGCATTTTAATTTTTGTTACTTTTCCCTATAATATGCAACTCAGAAACTCTTAATAATAATTTAAATTATTTATGCCTTTATTTAGCAAACATAAAAAACACATGCCTTGCAAACTGAGAAAATTATAACCCACTTAGGAGATATTATAATGACATAGATTCAAACATCATTGTTAATATATTTTAGTGCAATTTACTTTCAAAATAAAGTTACTACTTATTTTGCATATACATGGAAAAAACTTTTATATAATTCCTACTAGTACTAATATAAAAATCTCCAAGTATAACATCATAACAGGCATTCATATTGACTTTATTTGAAATGCCAATTACAAGCTATGGTAAAAATTATATAATTTAGTTTGCTATGTTTCTCATATTTTATTTAGGAATATCATAAGTAATATTTAATGAAGAATTCAAAATTTTCAGAATCAATCCTTGTTTCAATGTCAATAATTACTTCATATAAATAAAAGCAAGTCTATTAAAATCTGAGCTGCACTTAAAAAGAAAAATTATCCACTTAAATAACATATTTTTATTACATGTTTTATTACTCCTTATCACATGATTTATATTTTCATTGCTTATTATTTTAAATATTCTATAATTAAATTTCTTTACTGGCTGAATGACATTAAATGGTAACTTTTATATGAAAAAAAAAAGAAATCTCCAAACTAAAAAAAATCAAAAGCCAAAAAGTTTATATATATATATATATATATATATATATATATATATATATATATATATATTTATTTATTTTTTCTCCTCAAGTTTAGAAGAGGCATGACATGGATTATAGAAACTAAAAACCTTAATAAAGCAATTAGGATCCTTTCACCTTGTAGCTCACCAACACATGACAGTTGAACTAAACTGAGTAAAAACAACTCTATCGATGAACCCTGTCAGAGTGTCTCAGTTAGTTTTACATTTCACCCTCATTCTTGTAGATGGTGAAAGTTCCCCTCCAACACTGAGGTGTAAGAACAGACAGACAGAAAAAACTTACAAAATTCTTTTTTCAGATGAAAAGATATCTAGATAGAAGTCCTTAAATTTTCAAAGCAATGCAATTTCCATTAAAATAATTTATCTTTTTCATACACAGAAAGTCTAGAACTAGAATATTGTGCCACTGTCATGTTTCTTTCACTTTGTCTGCAAATTGAAAACTGTGTTATTGTCAATGCCCACTTCTCTTTGAATCTGTCATGCACTTTGAATCTGTCATGCACTTTGAATATGAGATAGTATATTTTTGCACTTAAAAAAAGACATGAGGGGCTGGGGATGTGGCTCAAGCGGTAGTGCGCTCGCCTGGCATGCGTGCGGCCCGGGTTCAATACTCAGCACCACATACAAACAAAAGATGTTGTGTCCGCCAAATACTAAAAAATAAATATTAAAATTCTCTCTCTCTCTCTACCTCTCTCTCACTCTCTCTTTAAAAAAAAAAAGACATGATTCCCGCCCCCCCAAATCCAATGAGATTATTGCTAACCTAAAGAATGGGGAAGCAGGTGAATAAAAATAAAAAAGAAATTGTAGGTTAAAACAGTTCACCCCATTCCAGATTATATATTAAGTGGTACTTCATATAATATTAAATAAATTCTGACACATTAGAATGTTATAAAATGTTATCAATTACTTGTGAATGATACATACGAAGTTGTATGAGAAACAGAGAGTGAGATTACTTTCTTTAAGTCCTCAGCAGAACTAGAGAAAATGTGGTATTTGAGCCCTATGTTTGTAGACAAAGACAGTATTTATTCATTTGGCTTTTCACAGTATCGCTGGATCAATGTCTCTCAGTGAGGAGTGATTTTGCATCCAAGGAGACATTAGGCAATGTCTGGAGGCCTTTCAGATTGTCACAACTGGTATTACTGGCATCTACTGGGTAGAAGACAAGGATGCTGCTAAATACCCTGCAATTTCAGGACAGCCCCCCAGGACAAAGAATTGTCCAACTCAAAAGGTCAATGTTTCTTACAGTGAGAAACACTGCCTTAGAGCCTGGTATAGAGTGTGTGTTTATCTTTGGATTAGACAAAGAAGGATGAAGGGAGGGAAGACAGTAGAATGAATAAGACATACCTTTCCTATGTTCATATATGAATACACAACCAGTGGAACTCCACCTCATGTACAACCAGGAGAATGGTATCTTGCAGTTCACACACACACATACACACACACACAAACACAAACACACAAACAGCACTATATATATATATATACACAAATGCATATATATGTATATGTACATATATATATATGTGTATATATATATATATATATATATATATATATATATATAGACCCTATGTGTGTATACACTATCTATAGATAGAGAGTACATAGAGCACATTTACAAGACACTAGTTTTAATTTTGCTTCTTTTGATATAAGAAAGACCAATCTATGTGACAGTTTTTCTAGTATCATCAGAATGTACTCATGACTTCACCAACAAATTCCTTACTAATTTTTCATAATCAATGAAGAGAAGAATGTGAGGAGAGAACCAGGGGTTAGCAATCATTGTGCTAGAAATAAAGAGCATAATAAATATTTTAGGTTTTATGAATTTTAGATTTTATCTTAACTATATCAGTGTAATGCAAAAGTAGTTGTACAATGATATGTTAATAAGTGATTGTCAATCAAATCATTCACCAGAACAGGAAGCCAGCTGAATTTGGTCTCCTGTCCATAGTGAGTTCGTTTGTAATCAAGAGTTGTAGCAACATAAAACATGATTGGGAGAAATCATTTTTAAATCACTTCAATTTCAGAAACAGTTTGGTGAAGTAAGAAAAAGGAACAATACAATGATAATTTTAGAAATAATGTAATGACCAATTATGGCTATGTCATCCAGTTGCTCCCATTTTTTGTTTGTTTATCACAGCTATCCTTAGGTATAAATCTAGGTTAGATTACTTCTTCAGGAAAATAAATCCAAAAATATACAGGATTGTTATGAGAATGTAGATGAATCTCTTAGAATTGCCTATCTCTCAAGGGCCAGGTACGGTGGTATACACCTGTAATCCCAGTGGCTTGGGAGGCTGACAGGAGAATCAGGAGTTCAAAGCCAGCCTCAGCAATGGAGAGGCCCTAAGCAACTCAGTGAGACCCTATCTCTAAATAAAATACAAAATAAAGCTGGGGATGTGGCTTAGTGGCCGAGTACCCCTGAGTTCAGTCCCCAGTACCCCCCTACAAAAAAAGAATTGCCTATCTCTCAATACTTTTGAAAAGTGAAATCAACCTGTAGCCAAAATTGCTGGAAGTAGAATTCACAAGGCATGATATGCCGGTTAGATAATGTTTGAGAGAGCAGGAAAAGGGCCCCCAAAATAAATGCATTAGGATGAGTGCAGAGACAGATCCTGACAGATGATAAGTTATGATCATGTTTTTATACTTGACTTTGGGGACTGTACTTGAGTTTCTGTCCAGTCACTTGTAAGGCAACAGTCAGAACACTCAGCTTGAATCCAAGACATTTTCTAACTTCTAGGATGTTCCTTGCACAAAGGGAGAGTAAACTCACTTAAATTTTCCCCAGCAGGTGAAAATTTTCACTCTGTGATTTTTTTCTTCTGGGACTGTCTACTTTAAAAAAAAAACGGATATTTCATAGCTAGCTTGCTAATTCCAGTCATTCTTTCCTTCTTACAGCCAGAAAGAGATATCCTGAGTATGGTAGTTTGGATTTGAGGAGAGAGTGCAGAAGGAGTAATGGTCGATGTAAAAATCAATGCCTTGAGACTGAAATTAGGATTGCTTTCTGCATAAGACCTGGAACACGTTGCTGCATACATAGTTAAGAATGACAGAAGAAAAGAGACACTGCTCCAAGAAGAGAGAACCAGTGTTACTAAATATTTCCAGCACATCTTTCAAGGCCTCTGTGTCTCTATAAAACACAAATAATTAAATAAATTTTAATATTGAACTATTCAGAAGGACTCTATCACACATATATCTGGTGCCTTTACACTACATTTTTTTTTCTCTTCATTTCTTGGTACCAGAAGTAAGCAAAATTTATTTTGTGGATGTCTCTCAACAACTACTCAAAGTTGTATGTGCCCTCTGATAGTTAGCTTAAGTAAAATTGTGGAAAACCCTAGGCCAAAGATCAAAGTAGTGGGGAAGTATATTTTTTTTTTGAGATGCAAGCTTACAATAGAAATGTGCTATCATTTTAATATACTACTCTATCAATTACCTCATGGAAAAAAAATAGAAACCCACTGGGATTTGGAGACTAGTCATGGAGAGGGAGTTCTTTCTGGTGAGAGACACAGGGCTAAAGGGAGAATATCAGTAGACTGTAAGAATAAAAGAACAGAGAAAGATCAAAACAAGCACTAATTTCTACTTTTATTATTTAGTAGAGAAATTGGAGGAGGAAAGGAAGAGAAAATTTTCAGAAAGGAGAAGAAATGTGCATAAACAAACACTTAGGTTAGGAAGTCAGAAACTTCGGCTAATAATTTAATTCAGATCTTCATTCCTAAGAAATAATTCTGTCTGAGGAGATACAGAACAAAGCAAGGAGCAGTGACCTTAACTTTCCAAATTCACTCTCCCCCAGTTTCTTTCCTACTGCCCCTGAAGACCCACAGTAGTTTTACCTGCTGGACTCAGTGCCATGTACAAAAAAAAAAAAAAACGCTAATACCTTCTTTTAGTTTGTTTTAAAAATATTTTTTTTAGATATTGACGAACCTTTATTTTATTCATTTATTTATATGCAGTGCTGAGAATTGAACCCAATGCCTCACGCATGCTAGGCAAGAGCTCTATCACTGAGCCACAAACCCAGCCCCTAATACCTTCTTTTATGAGCTTAGCTTACAGTCATCTATATTAACTCAAAATTCTTAAAAAGCATAATAATGCAAGAACAAAGCAATTAAAAAAATCCACAGATGAATCTCTTTCCGCCCAAAATAAAGTTGAACAATACTTTGGAAAATTAAAGAGGAAATTTGTTGAATACATACATGTGGTACAGACTTGGACTCAGAAAGAAATAATAAATAAAAATTATTCATATTTTTTATTATGACGTCTCTATGAATTCCTTCTATTCTCCAAATGTAGATCTAAATATGTTCATAGTAAACATTAGATATAAAGTGATATGCATGTGGAAATAAGCTTTCCCTATACAAGTAAATACACACACACATATCACATCACACAAGGAACTTATTTTTAGTGTTTTATTTTAATGACCATAAGAGTTTCATTATGAAACAATTCTGTATGAAACAATTAGAGCTATATGTATATTATATTTCACATACTTTAATTACTTGTAATAGATTATTCAATGTATTCTCTTGCAATATAAATATTTTCAAAAGTAATTTTATAATATTTACTTATGAAAGGGTTGCTGAATATTGTATGTATTGGTATTTTGGTCTGTACAATTCTATTCTAGCAGCTATCTGGTGCATTGTCTGTTTAGCAGCAGGATATTGTCCAGCATCCCTAGCCTATGCCCACTTAGATGCCAGCCACACCACTTCCCTTTATTGTGAAAATAAAAAGAAATGTCTATCTTGCCAAATATCTTCTTTGTGGGACAAAACTCACACCTGATTGAGGATATTGATTTATACAGCAAAGCTCTTGTTCTCACAGAAATTAAAATTAAAATGGAAACAATGATCATTAACATTGTCATATATCTGACAAAAATTTTTGTGTATTATAAGAATAATTATCTACTCAAAATTTCAGTATATTATTATACTTGTGCTAGAGATGACATATTGTAAGAATCAGCATATGTCCAGAAGGTGGTCAGTTACAATTACCTATTTGAAATGAGAGTTTGGTTATTATTTATCTTACCCAAGTAGAGCCTGAGCCATCATTATCCCAAGACTTCCAAGAAGTGCAAGACTTAATATTTTATTCACATAGGGAAAATAAGAACTTGGTAGGGTCTACCAGGAAGTTGAAGAGACTGTTCTAGTAAATACTGGAGACACCTATACGCATACCACGAGGCAGTGCAAAGACTACCAGTATACATGCCCTCATTCTTCAGTGCTTACCAGAGAGAGAACAAAACCCTCTCCACCACTGAGCTGTTTCCTTTTGTAGTCTAGCGAACACTCAAGCGAGTACCCTCTGCCTTTAGCTCCAAGAAAAAACAAAATAAAATAAACAAACAAAAGATACATTAGAAACTAAAAGAAGAATGTGAACCTATATACATCATTCATGAAATTGATGTCCTTTCCTGAAGAAATATTTGAAGTTTTTCCTATGTGAGATAAAAACCCCTTTCATAAAGATCTGCAATCTGCTTCTTTAAAGATATAGAGATATTACTAAGTTATTCTATTCCCATATCCTCATATGCATATTCAATTTACATATGACTAATTATAATATGTTCATATATTTTTTTTTAAAAAAAGGAAAAACATAAATGGGGCAAATGCTTCAAAATGGAAATATTTCTGGCAATTTTCTTGCTAAAAAAATGAAATTTTCTGTGTGTGAATTTACAAACAAATTAGGTTTTCTTAAACTACTTAAGTTCTTAGATCCCGAAAGTTTTATCCTTCTTTGGCCCCAGATATCAAATTCCATAACACTATGTATTTTTCTTCACTTGTGTGGTTTTCTGTGTTTCATTAGGCAAGTGACTCTAATGGAACAGATATATGTGCTGTTATTTGCTATATCAATCAACTGAAAATATCACATTTAAAGGTCATTTATCACTATCAAGTTTTAGCACAGACTATGAGAAGATTTAGAATCCAACATGATACCTTTTCCAATCTTTTCCAGGATTTCCTTCACCTTAATGCTCTTGGGCAAGAGTAAAATCTATTGCTGATTATTTTATCAGGCAACATTTCATTAATGACTTGCTTCTCCCCAAGTATTATGTCATAGGTTTTTGACTTAAGGAACTGGTTTGTCTGATCACAAACTGAAATTTTGGTAATATTCAATTTCATTGAGATAAAAATTGAATAAGATATAGGATATTCTCCAAAATGTTCAAAGTCATACACATACACACACAAATACATAAACGCTGCCTTCAACATACCTTCACTGATTTATTTATGCATTCAATAAACATTACTTGAGCATTTATTACATATCAGAAAGAGTACAGTAAAGATTGGTACACATCAACAAACATACCAAACAATATACCTCATAATTGTGGAGCTCATATTATAGTGGGTAGAGACAAATATAAACAGTATGATAGATAAAAAAAACTGATGCAGTACATTAAAAGGTGATACCTGTTACAGGAAAAGAATCAGAACAGTGTGACGACAACTCAAAATGCTAGTGGGCTGAAATAAGTTTAAAAGAAAAATTTTTATGGGGAAATATTGAGAAGTAGAATTTGAGCAAAAGGTTGAAAGCTGTGGTCATGGGAGCTATTCTGAAATTTGGGAGCTATGCCTGAGATGTAAAAAGTGCTGGGGTATATTTCCTGGAAGAGGAAATGACAGAGGAAGTATATTGACTGCTTTCCACAGAATTTTGGAAATTAGAAAGGACCTTAATTTTTATGCTGAGAGCAATCATGGATTTAGCCAGAGGATAAACATTATTTTAATTTTGTTTTAAAAAGACATCTCTAAAGTGCTTACATGAGTTAGGAGGTTATTTAAATAATACAAGTATAAGTGGTGGTAGCTCAGTCCAAGGTAATACAAATAAGAATAATTAGGGATGGTTGTATTGTGCATGTGTTAAAGGTAGAGTTAGCCTTAGTACATGAGAGGTGGAACTTTGTGAGACAGACAGGACAATCTAAATCCAAGATTTCTTACCTGAGCATTTGGAAAGATTGAATCTTGACATTGACTAAGATGGGAAGAATAACAGATGGAACAAATTAATGTTGGAATAGGTTTTCAATTTTGCATATGAATCAGATATTTGTTAGATTTTACAAGTGGGAAAGCGAGTTAGAAAATCATTAATCTGGCTTAGTTGAATCTAATAATCTCTTGAGTTCACAAGAGGGAGTTGCAGCTTCTGTACAAATTAAAGCATAAGTTTTTCATTAGGGTGTGGAGAATCTATCTTCACTAACACGAAGGAAGGGAGGATGTTCATACGTGGATGCTGACAGGTATGTAAATTGGGTGGCAGAAATCTATAGGAAGTGCCTTAGGATCTTCCACTGGATTATCAAGGTAGGAAGCAAGATCATTAGCTCTGAGTCAAGATGGGGAAGGATATTATAGAATTGTGAGGAGAGAAGAGAATGTAATAGAATCATTTAAAAGAGTAGAAGGCTGAATAGATTATTGGTGTGGTTTATAACAGTCATATTTCCTGTACCTTCATCTCCTTCCTGCATTTTTTGTGTCTTGTTATATCTTTAACAATTATACCTCACTATAACTTTTGAAATTTCACAGAAACTTCTATTTAATGAAGGAACCCAAATCCCATGGGCTAAATAATTTTCTCAAAAGAGCATAATTAATAAATAGAATATCTACAAAGGACTATTAGATTTTGAAAGATAATGTCCTTTCAGACTTCCAACTGACCATGGCTTTATTCCTGCCTTGATCACAACTTGTATCCAGCAAAAGCAGACAGCTTCTGAAAATACCTCTTGTTCTCAACTTTGCTTCTCTATTTTCAAGGAGCATCATGAGGTTGGAGTGGAAATCTTCTGCAGAAAATTTATTTTTAAGGAAGTGGAGATATCTGAGTCAGGCATTTGTCCTGGGAGTATGACGAAACCTCTAATGCCCCATAGAACTTGGGAAAGCTAATACTGAATGCAGTGTATTGGAGC